TACGGGGGATCACGGCTGAGGAGCAGATGTGCCTCGGGTGACTGTGGTCATCCCAGGAAGGTCAACATTAAGATGCCTCCCACAGGATGAGACAGGTGACAAGTTTCATGGGGACACTAGAGCGAAAGGGGCAAAACCCACCTTGAACCGCTGCAGCAAAATAGCCTGTGTTGCCTTTTGTGTCCGGGATACTTCTGAATGGATCCAGGCTTCACCCGGGCCTGATCCACAAGCTCACACGGTGGTCAGGGTTCTCGGCGCTCACCACCTCAGATCCTTTGCTGTCCTCTGCATATGTCTCAGTTCCCTCGAGTTTCTTCAGCCTTCCTTCAGGAGTGAGGGGTAAATGGCTATTGGCTGTTCCCGACCATATGTCCTGATTTAGCACTTCTAGCTGTGAGTACTCTCTTTCCTAGAACGTGAAGGAATCATCTTCCAAGAGGTCCTGACTTTGTCACATTCCTTGCTCTGCAACGCCGTCCCCTTCCCGTGCAGGAACAGGGTTCCATGACAGGCTAGAATGCATCACGTGTGCAGACATGTAATGCAGAGAGGAAGTGGCATTTACAAGCAGGAAAACTGAGGATAAATATCGCAGAGGTTATACAGAGAATGCATCCGGAGACACCAATGAGTTCCCATGTTCTCATTGCACATGTCGTTCCTGGGCTGGCGTTCACTCAGAGGGTGAAAGGTGCTTGCAGGACGTCTGTCTGTCACAGCCTCAGTTGCCTCAGACTGAGCACGAAGTGGGGAGCACATACTATTCAAAAGACCCCTTCACTCGACACTCTCTCTTCCAACAACGGCTCTCTAGTCTTCCTAAAGCCAGAGGGGATATAGCATCCCAGTGTGAGTTCCTATGGATTTTATAACAAACTACCAACCCAGATGTATTTGCTTATGACACGAGAGGCCGGAAGTCAAAAGTCAGAGTGTTGCTCAGATGCATTCCTCAGAAACTCAGGAGGGAGACGTGGCTTCCTTACCTCCCCGCTGGCATCAGACGGTGCAAATAAATCTAGGATTAACATTGATTTTTTTTTTGTATCTCTGAAAGAAAGCTTTCTGGGAATTGTATGATGTATGAAATTTGCTTTCAAATATTCTAATATAGACTTCTGGGGTGAGGTGGCAGATTAAAAGCTGCCTCCATGTAATATGAGAAATTAGAAGAGTCAGGATAAGAAACAACTGATGCTACTCCAAAGATGATAAGAGTGACAGCAAAAAATAATAAAAAAATAATTTTAAAAAAGGAGAGTGAGAGCATCAGAACTCATAGAGGGTGATCCAGTGGAAAGGATCGGGCAGCCCCCAGCTCCAGCCAGCCTCCTTGTCCAGAGAGGGAAGGCAGATGTGTAAACTGTAACACAAAATACGAGAAACATGAAAAGACAAGGCAACGTGACTTTTCCAAAGGAGCATAATTCCTCAATTACCAAGTCCAAAGATGATTAAATGGGTAAAATATTAGATGAAGAATGCAAGCATTTATTTGTAAAAATGGTTAACTAACTTGAAAGTTGATACAAGTAAGATTATTAAAGT